CCCAGCTGTGAAGTGCCTTTGCTTCAAGGCACTAGGACACACCATTCCACCCTGTTCCCTGAGCAGAGTGACCCTGGCAGCTTGTTGGGACTTTGAGATGACTGTCCCCAGCTCCCAGCCCTCAGGGAAGCTCTTCCAGAGTCACTTCTTGGAGCAGAGTTATTCAAACACTTCTCTGTGACAGTGCAGGCTTAAAAGGGTCCTGCCCCCTCACTTCTCGTTCTGCTTTCAGTGGTGCCAGAAAACCTGGTTTTGGGGCTGAACCAGACGAGGGGGACGATCTGGGTTAAAAATAACTCCCCTCCCCTTTTTTAGGGTTATTTTTAACTTGGATCCGTTCCCTAATCCAGTTCGGCACATGGCCCTGTGAGCACCTCTTGTTGATGCTCTTCCTGAGAGAACATCCATGGAGCCACAAACTTCATTTTACCCAGGATATTTTATTTTTTTTTTCCTTAATTTTCCAATTTAACTTCAGGCTAGCGGATCTTTGTGTCTGGTAGGTGGCAGCTTTTGGGAGCTGTGAGTGACTGAAGTCAGTGGATTATAACAGACATTTTGCAAAGCTTTCAGTGGAGCTTGGCATGTTAATGACACTGTCAGCAGCATGGGGTGATGGTTTGTAGGTGGAGAGCTCGTTTGTATCTCTGTGATTGCAAATTATGCTTTCATTTGCAGCAGTTTGGAGCTGCTTGAGTGACACAGCTCTGTTCCTCTTGCTTTATCATGTGAATGGGATTATTTAGTCCTGGGATGTCAGAAGGATGAGGGAGCTGGGTCTGCCTTTGTCAGCCAGCCCTTGTGAAAGAACAGAGTTTTACAAAGAGCAGCAGAAAATTTTTGCTGTAATAGGAGCATCTTTTGAGTACCTGAGTCCTGCATGGGACTGAGCACCCCTTCCTTGCAGATGCTGCTGTCCTGAACAACGTTGCCCACACATTTGGTCTAATGGACACAGTCAAGAAGGTTCTGGACAACAGGAAAAACCAGACAGAGCAAGGAGAGGAGCAGTTTCTTTACACACTAGCAGGTAAAGTGCCTAATAAGGGTTCACATCCTGCTGCTGCTCTTGGGAACAAATGTGATTTTCCTTCCACACAACCTCAATGCAACTCCCTCCTCATTGTGTCCTACAGGATCTGTCCTTACCCCTGTCCTAGTCCCCTGCTGCCCTGGATAAATGAGGTCACTGTGCTGCTTCTGGCTCCCAGTGTTCCCACCAACAAGGGAGGAAGGATGGGGGTGAGGGAGATGTTTCACTGACCCCAGGTCCTGCTCCTGTGCCCAGTGCTGGTGCTTGGCTCTGGGAATGTGACTCAGCCAAGCTCAGGAAGCAATTCCAACTGTCCAGGGGGGTTTGTCCACTCTCCCTTATAGGTGGGGTTAGCTTGGGGAGCAGAAATGCCCATCTTCTTACCAGTAGGAGTAGCCAACAGGGATGGAAGGTTACCTGTGCCTTATCCAGGTGCTGACAGCTGGAACACTGACCTGTGTGGGTGGCAAGAGAACCTGACCTTTTCTTTAAGTGTAGTTTGATCCCAAGGGAGATGCCAAGATCACGCTGGCTGGGTGGTTGGGTGTCCCCTGTCACAACCCTGGGGGTGATGGAGCCCCAGGAGCTCCCGGTGTCCCCAGCCTGACGTGCCGTTCCCCTCACAGACCTGGAGCGGCAGCTGGAAGAGCAGAAGAAACTCGCCAGGGACCAGAAGGCCAAGTCCCAGACCATCCAGAACGTGGTGCTGATGCCCGTGAGCGCTCCCAAGCCCCCCAAGAGACCCCGCCTGCAGCGCCCAGCCTCCGCCACCGTGCTGAGCCCCTCCACCCCCCTGCAGCAGCCCCAGTTCACCGTCATCTCCCCCATCACCATCGCGCCCGTCGGGCAGCAGTTCTCCGTGGGCAACATCCCCGTGGCCACCATCAGCCAGGGCTCCAGCCCCGTGACTGTGCACACGCTGCCCTCCGGCTCCCAGCTCTTCCGATACGCCACCGTGGTGTCCTCCTCCTCCTCCTCCTCCTCCTCCTCCAAGACCAGCTCCTCGGACACGGTGACCCTGCACCCGTCCTCCAGCCTGGCGCTGCTGAGCTCGGCGGCCATGCAGGACAGCGGGGCCCTGGCCAACGTGGCGGCTGTGGTCAACCCCGTGGAGCTGGTGGCCATGGAGTCGGGCATCACCTCCACCATCCAGGCCGTGGAGGGCACCTCGGACGACGGGCAGACCATCATAGAGATCGACCCGGCGCCGGATCCCGAGGCGGACGCGGACGAGCCCGAGGGCAAAGCTGTGATCCTGGAGACGGAGCTGAGGACTGAGGAGAAAGTGGTGGGAGGAGACGTGGAGGACCACCAGCACCAGGTCCATAACGTGGAGATTGTGGTCTTGGAGGACTAGTGGGGAAGGCAAAGCATCAGTTTGGGGAAGAGTTGGGAATTTATCTTATTTCAGGCTTCTTTTTTTTTTTTTGTTAAGCATCTTTTCCAGCCACCCCATTTGTTTCCATGGATATTTTCATTGTCCTGTATATAATATATATATATATATATATATATAATTTTGTTTTTTAAAACAAAAAAAAATCTGGAGAAACACGTGAGACCTGGAAAAGGCTCCGTCTCCGTGGAGCACTGAACAATCCCCCCTGTTTGCAGGGTCAAGGAGAGACTGGATCTCTGCTGGACAACCCAACTGGGAGGAACCAGCCACACACTTGGTGCTTCTGCTCCGGGGCTGCCCTGGCCCCAGAGACTTTATCTGAGAGACAATAACCAGTGGCTGGAGCGTGGATGTGGCTGTGGGAAGGGGTGACGGATTTGGGGTGGAACAGGTACCTCATTTGTATTTTTATTTTCCCCAGGGAAGGGAGTTCTGTCGGACTCTTCGCTGTCACCTCAATTGGGATTTTTTTATTGTTACTCTTGCTTTGGGGAGCCTGACAGTCCATGAATTTGCTGTCCATGTTCTCCTCCTCCTCTTCCTCCACACAAATCGTTTTTGTATCTCTATTTTTTTGTATTTGTTTACTCTCTCCCTTCCCGCTGCCCAGATAGCCCAGCTGCAAAGCCCTGGGGCCTCCTCTCCGGGTTCCCTGTATCCCAATCCCACTTCTTCCCGTGGCACTTTCCCCCCCATCCCTTTCCCTGCCTGGCCAGGCTCGGTGCTGCCGCTTGGAGACTCCGAGATCACTTTCAGCCTTTCACAGAAAGGCAAAAAAATACCAACTCAAGCTCAAACCCAGACCCTCCCCTTGGCTGCTCAGCGCCACAGGGACCTTTTTGGGGTGTACAAAGCATGTTGTGCTGTTGCTTTCCGGGAGAGCTGGATCCTGGACTGGGACAGCTTCTGTTTACACTGTGTGCTGAGGCTGCTCCGTGCTTGTTGCTACTCGTTTTGGTGGTTTTATTTTTGTATTATTATTATTATTATTATTATTTCTTCTTTCTTCCTATAATCTCTTGGCAGGATTAGAACTGGCACGTTGCTGAAATAATGTGCACCCCACTGTTTTCCCTCTTTATTTTTCAGTGGGAAGATGGAAATGGGGAAGCACCGGGTGCCTTTAGAGCTGCAGAGGTTTGGGAGGGGCTGGGAGGGGGGAGCTGCTTGGCTGGAAATATTAAGCAAAACAACAGGCAAAGATAAAAAGAAACACACCTGGGGAGGGCGGGGGGAGGGCAGGAAGATGTGTTTGGCTATTTTTTTGCATTAAAAGGAAAAATGGAACTAAGCTCCAATGGTTTATTCGTGGAGAGGTGGAAGGCAGTGACTCTGTCACCTCCAGGATGGGATGGGCAAGGATCCCTCTGCCTCCGTTTGGGAGCGGTGGTTGCAGCTGCTCTGACCCTGGACTCTGGGAAGTGTTTCCTGGCTTGGGTTGGAGGTGGGAAGAGCAGTGGGAGCCAGATCCCATGTTCAGCCCAGAGGAGACAAGGCACCAGGGAGACCTTGGGGCCCCTTCCAGTCCCTAAAGAGGCTCCAGGAGAGCTGGAGACGGGCTTGGGACAAAGGATGGAGGAACAGGACAAGGCGGAACGGCTTCCCACTGCCAGAGGGCAGGGTTAGATGGGATATTGGGAAGGAATTGTTTCCTGTGAAGGTGGGGAGGCCCTGGCACAGGTTGCCCAGAGAAGCTGTGGCTGCCCCTGGATCCCTGGAAGTGTCCAAGGCCAGGTTGGACGGGGCTTGGAGCAACCTGGGATGGTGGAAGGTGTCCCTGCCCATGGCAAGGGGTAGAACGAGATGGGCTTTAAGGTCCCTTCCAATCCCAACTCTCCTGTGATTCCATGGTTTTAGGCCAAGGATCCACTTCCTTCCACATCCAGCCACCTTCCCTTCCCTCCCCTCTGGCTCGCTTCATGCGAGCCTTGACCTGAGAGGGACGGGGATCTTTTGGGGACCCCATTCCGCGATCCAGGCTCACAGCATGAGCCGTGCCCGTCCTTTCCCGGGAAAGGGGCAGGACCTGGGTGGGAGACGAGAGAGGCGACGGACCAACACCCAGCGAGCCCCTTGACCCGGCTGGGGGTCCCGGAGGGCTGGGTCCTCCACGCCTTGTAGAGCTGGGGACAGCGGGGAGCTAAACTCAGGTTGTGCTGAATCCGCCGCCGTGCCCCGAATTCGCCACGTTTCGCCCCAAAGCCGGCGCGGGGCCGCCTGGCCCTTTAAGAGCAGTTCCCGCTCCCGGCCGAGCGGGGGCGCTGCCGCTCCCCCCCTCCCCGCGGTCCTCCTCCGTCCCGGCATGCCCCGCGCCCGCCCCCCCCCTCATTTCCCGCCATTGTGCCTGGGCGCGCGCGGCGCCGCGTGACCGGGCGGGGGGAGCGCGAGGCGGCGGGGCCCGGGGGCCATAGAGACTGGGGGTGGGGGGGCGGGGGATAGAGCGTCCCCCCCTCGCCCCGCTCCGCTCCGCCCCGCCGGCCGCCGCCGAGTCCGCCAAAGGGCCGCCCCGCAGCCCCCGCCGGGCCCGGACAAAGCGCTGCCGCCGCCGCCTCCTCCTCCTCCTCCTCCTCCTCTCCCGCCCCGCCCCGCCCCGCCCGCAGCCCCCGCCGCGGAGCCATGTCGGCCAGCAGCCTCCTGGAGCAGGTACGAGCCTCCCCCTCCCGCCCGCGCCGCCGGGCCGAGCTCCGCCGCGCCGGGCCCAGCGCAGGGGGAGCGCCCCGGGGCGGCGACGGCCTCGCCGCGCTCCATTGTGCTGCGGCGGGGCCGGGCCGCGCCTGGGCTGGGCCTGGGGCTGTTGTTTGAGCCGGGCCTGTCCCGGACCGGGCCTGTTTCCCCTCCAGGACCGGCTCCGTCCCCGCCGGGCCTGGGCGTCCCTCGCTGGGCCAGGCGTTTCCTCCCCCCGGGCTGGCTCCGTTTTTCAGCCCCCGGGTGTGTTTTCCCCCCTTCCCACTGGCCGAGTCTGTTTTCCCCACCCCCGGGTCTTTTTTCCACGCTTCCAGAGCAGGGTCCGACCCCTTTCCCCAGACCGCGTTTGTTTCCCTCCCCCCCGGGCTCGTCCTTGCCCCTCCCGGAGCCGCTTCTCCCCCTGACTCACCGCTCTCCTTCTCTCCCTCCCTCTTTCTCTCCCCCCACGCCGCCGCTGCTCCAGAGACCCAAGGGCCAAGGCAACAAAGGTGAGAGCCCTGGGCAGGGCTGGGAACGCGGGGGAGGGAGGGAAGGAGGGTCTCCCCGAAATCTGTCGGGAGCCAGGAGGGGAACAAGCCCCGCGTGGCTGCCGGAAGTTTTGCGGGTGTTGTTTGTGCCGTGCGCGGTGTGTTAGAACCGGCAGGAGTTCGTTGTATTACAGGATTTGGCTTTAAATACTTTTAAGTCGGTAAACGTTGGGAGTTTGTTGCGTGTTGTTTTCTGAAGTTTCACGTCTCTCCTCAGTGCAAAACGGCTCTGTGCACCAGAAGGATGGGCTGAATGATGATGACTTTGAGCCCTACCTGAGCCCCCAGGCCCGCCCGGTGAGTACCAGGAGCCTGCTGGTTTCCTGCTGCTCCAGCAGAGGGGAATTTGGCCTCCTTGTGTGTGTTCCCCGTCTCCACTGGCTGCATTTTGATCTTTGCCAGCACCTTATATCCCACCCTACACCTGCATTTCCTGCAGGCAGGAAGCACTGACTCTGCCTTTAGGTTGTGGTGGTGGGTGAGGTAGGAAGGGGTTTAGCAACTTTTTGAGGCTGTGAGAACTTCCTCCACGTGGTGTTCAGCTCCTTTTTTTTCAATCTCCAAGCCACCATTTCTGCTCTTTCAGTTTTACTGTTGTGCCTGCGTTGGTTTTTGGCTCTTTGCACCACACAGATGTGCCGAGCTGGGTTGGGAAGTCGCCTCACAGGAGGCTGCTGTGCTCAGCAGGGCTTTTGGAGGATCAGATCAACCTTCTTATCTCTGCACCGAGTCAACTGACAGTGCCTGTCATGGGAATTTCTGTTTTTCACCAAAAAAAACCCCCAAAAACAAAACCCAGAGCCCACGTGTGATAAAGAGTGTTGAGACTTTCTGAGAACCCCGATTACAAGTCGAGCTGGAGGGTCTGTAACCAGCCCCTGGAATTCAGGCTCCCACCTACTTTTCCTCCTCACTTTCCCTTAGACTGGCTCCCCTGCTAACTGGTTTTTGTTTGTTTTCCTTAACGAGCTGCAGGGGAGTGACACAGAACAGATGGACTTCAGCTGATTAGATGTACAAGTGAGCACCATAGATAAACATCTGTAATAGCACCAGAGCTCTCAGTTCATTCTCTTGGCTTCTCTTTCCAGTTGTGATCAGTAAAAATAAGCTCTTCTGGTTTCCCCTTTCTGTATTTTTGCTCATTTTTACCAGTCAGTACATCATTTTTTTTCATGTGAAAGTGATGCCTGTTTATTAGGACACAGGTTTCTGTCTCAGTGAAATTTTCAACCAGTATTTTCATTTTTTTGTGCTAAAGGTCTGAGGGTAAATGTTCTTTATGTCCTGTCAGCTGTTCATAATCTCCAGAGTTCACCTGTCCATCAAGATAACTCACTGCATTCTGCTCCCTAAAAAGTTAACGAGCCTAAATTCAGCCTTCATAGAGTGAGAGAGTGTGATTGCTTTCTCAAATCTTGAATAAAACCAGCTACCTTTCCAGTAGCTGTCATTTAATGGTGGGTTTTTTTCTATCCCAGTTATCAACATCCCTAATTTCCAGCTTCCTTCTGAATGTGGATGGTATTTTCTGTGTTTAAGTGTCCTAAAGGGAATGAGGGTTACTACAAGCAACATGATATTTTACTCTATTTTTCGTGTTTGATGAAGAACTTCTGGATCTTTAATTTCTTTTAGTGTGTCTCGCACTGGGAAAAACACATTTTAAAAATCAGGAAGTGTTTGGAGGTGCCCCAGGAGGCAGAAATCGAGCAGGAAGGAGGTGAAACCACCGAGTTACCTTGGAGTGGGACCTTTGGGTGACTCTGTCTCAGTTCCTCACTGTGCTGTGGTGCTTCTCAGCTCCGTAAAATAGAATCCAAACCCTGAGAGCTGAGTCTGGAGGGAGGCACAATTCTGCTCAAAAATACAAAGGTATCAAAGTCGCTGGAGGTGGCAAAGGGAGAAGTCAGAGATAAGGCTCTGGATAAGGAGTTAAAGGAATTTTGGGGATGCTTCCCAAGCTCTCCACACTCACAGGAGGTAACCAAGTTGTGCAGTTTCACTGTTCCTCATTCCCCAGCTGCTCTTGGAGGTGTGACTGTTACTGTCAGCCCCTCGATGAGGTTACTGTGTATTTTAAAAGATATGCAGTAAATGACTCTTCAGCCCTTTAAAAACCAGAAACTCACATAAACACTAGGTCAGGTTCATTTAGTTCTGGTCTTAGGTGAAGGGGAACAGCAAGTTTGAGGAAATAACTGTGTGAAAAGTCTTAGTCATGGAGAGAATGAGAAGCTGGTGGAGTTTTATTGGTATGGTTGAGGTGACAAGGGGACAGGTTTTAATGTGACAGTGATGTGCTTCCTGTGCTCTTGTGGAGAGGAAACAGCTCTGCCTTGGGTTTAGGGGTGGCCCAGCATGTTCCTGTTCCATTAAAGGAAGTTTTAGGAGGGCAAATGTTACTCTTATAACTGAGGGGATTAACTTGGGAAGAGACTTTGCTGGTTCAAAATAATAATGTGGGGGTTTCAGTTCTTTCATTTGCCTCACAAATTATTGTCAGTGTTGGTGCTTTTGGGCAGGTTAGGCCTTGGGTTTAGCAGGACTCAGTTCCTCAATTAGTAAAACCCAGGGTGGGCGTGAGTTTTGTTATTAACTTGGAGGCTTTTGTGGGAAAACAAAGGCTGGAGGGAGCATCTCTGTGAGTTTTCGTGCCTTCACACCGTGAAGTGCCACAGAAATCCTGTCTCTGAGCACGTGAACATGAAATAATTCCTGTTAATGTCTGTGAACTTGGGGCTGGGTTGGCCTCAAACCTGTTGCTTTCCTGCAACCCCGTGGATGGTGGAGTGGCAAACCAGCTGTTTCTGGAGGGTGCCAGAGCCATCTTGAGAGGCTCCCTGGATTTCAGCACGGCACAAAGTCCTCCGGGAGCCGCGCTTGGCACGTGAGAACATGATTCAACCAGAAATGGAGCAGGGCCCTGCTGCAAAGCCAGGCTTTTAACTGGGAGCTGAACCTGCCTTTGATCTGCCTTGCACTGGGCTGGCTTGTCAGGGGCTGGGGCAGCACGAGGCTGCTGCTCACAGGTTCAAATTACTGAGGATAATGTCCATTAGCGCGGCTGGAACCGCTCCCCGGAGGGGACCTGGCTCGGAATGGGAAGTGACAGATGGTTTTTCATGTAAGCAAATCTTGGGGATGTCTGAGACTTCCCTAATTGTCAAATTAGGCGTTTGTTTTTGTAACCTAAAGGCTACTTGGATGTTAAAAGGGAGACCAAGGCACAGAGCAGGGATTTTTTTTTTTTTTTGCCTCTCTGGGTTTGAAACCTGCTCGTGCTGCTGCCTGTAAAAGGTTCCTCCTGAGACCCTGTGGATTACTCCTCATTTTCAGGTGTTTTTTAGTATGGGCCCATGGCACTGGAGCAGTTGGTGTTCTGAGAAATAGGCTTTAAATCCCTGTGAGCTCTGCAACTTTAAATTGTGGGAATAAAGCTGTTTTCGTGGGTAGTAAGTTTAAGGAAGGCAATTAAGGACACATAATTTTGGCAGTGTGCTTCCACTGGATCTTTTTCCTCCTTATTCCACTTCTGCCTGCATCCTTCCCACAAGCTTTCCCTCTAACACTAGAATAAGGTTTAAATATGTTACACAGGCAAGAAAAGCCCTCGTTGAGAGTAGCTACAAACAGAAGATATTTGGATGCAAGGTAAGACAGTGGTTTTAAAGCCTGAGCAGGAGCTCTGGGGCAGCTCGGTGTCCAGGCCCACTCCATGCATCAGGAACTCCACATGGGAAGCTGTCTGAGCCTTTGTCTTTAACCTTTCTGGCAATAAAACAGATTTTCGAGCCCTTGTAACAAAGGAGGTGTTCAAGGCTGGGCCTGTTTATCTGCCCAGCCCTAAGGTAGGGAGGGGTGGGGCACGGGAAGTCTTAAGCTGGCTTTATTCCTGGTCCCTTGAAATGGGTTCAGCTCCTCCTGGCTCCCCGGCACTCATGTTTTTGTGGTTTCCTTTCAGAACAATGCATACACTGCAATGTCTGATTCCTACTTACCGAGCTACTTCAGCCCCTCCATCGGATTCTCCTACTCCCTAGGGGAGGCTGCCTGGTCCACGGGGGGAGACCCCCCCATGCCCTACCTGACCTCGTACGGACAGCTGAGCAACGGGGAGCCCCACTTCCTCCCCGACGCCATGTTCGGGCAGCCGGGGGCCCTGGGCAGCACCCCCTTCCTCGGGCAGCACGGCTTTAACTTCTTCCCCAGCGGGATCGACTTCTCAGCCTGGGGCAACAACAGTTCTCAGGGACAGTCCACTCAGAGCTCGGGCTACAGCAGCAACTACGCCTACGCCCCCAGCTCGCTGGGGGGGGCCATGATCGACGGGCAGTCGGCCTTCGCCAGCGAGACGCTGAACAAGGCCCCCGGCATGAACACCCTGGACCAGGGCATGGCGGCCCTCAAGCTGGGCAGCACAGACGTGGCCAGCAGCGTCCCCAAAGTGGTGGGCTCGGCCGTGGGCAGCGGCTCCATCACCAGTAACATCGTGGCCTCCAGCAGCCTCCCCCCGGCCACCATCGCGCCGCCCAAGCCGGCCTCGTGGGCCGACATCGCCAGCAAACCCGCCAAGCAGCAGCCCAAGCTCAAGGCCAAGAACGGCATCGCCGGGTCGAGTCTTCCGCCGCCCCCCATAAAACACAACATGGATATCGGGACCTGGGACAACAAAGGCCCCGTGGCCAAAGCCCCGGCGCAGGCCCTGGTGCAGAACCTCGCCCAGCAGCCGGCGCAGGCGTCCCCGCAGCCCGTGGGCCAGCAGATGGCCGGCAGCCCGCCGGCGGCCCAGGCTGCGGGTGGGCAGCAGCCGCCGGCCCCGCTGCCCGTGCCCCCGGCGCAGCCGGCCCCGCTGCCCGTGCCCCCGGCACAGCCCACCCGCTGGGTCGCCCCCCGCAACCGCGGCAGCGGCTTCGGCCAGAACGGCGTGGACGGTAACGGGGTGGGGGCGGCCCAGACCAGCTCCGGCTCCCCTTCGGAGCCGCACCCGGTCTTGGAGAAGCTGAGGTCCATCAACAACTACAACCCCAAGGATTTCGACTGGAACCCGAAGCACGGGCGGGTGTTCATCATTAAGAGCTACTCCGAGGACGATATCCACCGCTCCATCAAGTACAACATCTGGTGCAGCACGGAGCACGGCAACAAGAGACTGGACGCGGCCTATCGCTCCATGAACGGGAAGGGCCCCGTGTACTTACTGTTCAGCGTCAACGGTAGCGGCCACTTCTGCGGCGTGGCAGAGATGAAATCTGCTGTGGACTATAACACCTGTGCAGGGGTGTGGTCCCAGGACAAGTGGAAGGGACGCTTTGATGTCAGGTGGATTTTTGTGAAGGACGTTCCCAACAGCCAGCTGAGGCACATCCGCCTAGAGAACAACGAGAATAAACCAGTGACCAACTCCAGGGACACTCAGGAGGTGCCTCTGGAAAAGGCTAAGCAGGTGTTGAAAATCATTGCCACCTACAAGCACACCACCTCCATCTTTGATGACTTCTCACACTACGAGAAACGCCAAGAGGAGGAGGAAAATGTTAAAAAGGTAATGTGTTCGTGGGGCTTGGATGAGTCCTGAGGGGCAGGAGGGGCTGCCATGGGCTGGACTGAATCCAGGGTGTGAACCAGGCTTGTGAACAGGCTTGGTGGGCATCAGCTGCCTTCTGGCTACCTGCCTGCCCACACTTGGAACCCACACCCACATGGCAGTCCCTGTTTGGGGGGGAAATGTCCGGAGGAGGCCATCAAGTTGATTAGAGGGATGGAGCCTCTCCTGTGGGGAAAGGCTGAGAGAGCTGGGATTGTTCAGCCTGGAGAAGAGAAGCTTTGGAGTGACCTAAATGCAGCCTTCCAGTGCTTGAAGGGAGCCCACAAGAAAGATGGTGAGGGACTATTTATAAGTGACAGGACAAGAGGGAATGGCTTCAAACTGAAAGAGTAGGTTTAGATTGGATATTAGGGATACATTCTTCCCTGTGAGGGTGGGGAGGCCCTGGCACAGGTTGCCCAGAGAAGCTGTGGCTGTCCCTGGAAGTGTCCAAAGCCGGATTGGACAGGGCTTGGAGCAACCTGGACTAGTGGAAGGTGTCCCTGCCCATGGCAGGGAGTTGGAACTGGATGTTCTTTAACATCCCTTCCAACCCAAACCAGTCTGTGAATCAGGTGCCAGCTCCTGGCAGAGCAGGATGAGGAGCCTTGCCCAGGCCCTGCCTGGGCTGCCCTGAGCCTCAGCCTCCCCTGAGTGCTGTGCTTTAACCAAAATGTATTTCTGTGCCATTGTCAGCTCCTGGGGCAGAGCAGTTTGTACTTGGAGATCAGTGGGAGGTTTGGGGAGTTGCAGCAATCAGAGATGGCTCTAATCCACCACATGCCCACAGTGGGGTCAGTGTGACAGATGTTTCCCACCACTTGTAGAACCTCCAGGAACAGCAGTTCCTGTCCCTCCCCAGGCAGTCTATTCCTATGCTTAATTATCCTTCCTGTAAGGAGGCTTTGTCTAATGCCCAGCCTAAATCTCCTTCACTGTAACTGAAATCTGTGACTGCTTGTCCTGTCTCCAGTGGACATGGATGGGGTTGTTCTGTTCCTTGTGGCTGTGTGTGGGGCCAGGGTGGGCTGTCACCTGCTGTCACCATCAGTGTGGCACCTGTGCTGAGCTCACCACCTGCCTGCAGCTCCTCTGGGTGCTGCTGGGGTTGGCTCAAAGCCTCCTCTCATCATGTACTCCTTAACAACTTGTTAATTGGAAATCCTGCCCCAAATTCAGTGGCCAGTGGGCTTTGAATTGTGCTTGGGTTCAGCTGTGGTAAAGTCACCTGGGGCTGCCCCTCCCCACAATGCAGATCTGGCTTGTGTTTGATCAAAATGATAATTACAAATTAGCATTAGCACAGCTGGCTGGGAGTTTGCCAAGTTTCCTGATGATCTCTTTAGTTTCAGCAACAGGGAATTTTTCATCCAGCAGTTGAAGAACAGAGTCAGGAGCTGCAGCTGCTCACAGTGACAGTTGATGCAGTTTTGGATTTTTGAGGTATATTTTACATGGAGCATTTTATAAATAATATCACTTAAGCACAAAGGTGGTTTGCTTCCTGCTGCTGGAGGGCAGGGTTAGGTGGGAAGTTGGGAAGGAATTCTTCCCTGTGAGGGTGGTGAGGCCCTGGCACAGGTTGTCCAGAGAAGCTGTGGCTGCCCCTGGATCCCTGGAAGTGTCCAAGGCCAGGTTGGACAGGGCTTGGAGCAGCCTGGGCTGGTGGAAGGTGTCCCTGCCCATGGCAGGGGATGGAATGAGATGGGCTTTAGAGTCCCTTCCAACCCCAGCCATTCCATGGTTCTGTGACATCCTCCAGATCTGACTTTAGGGAGCAACAGTTTGCAGTGTGAGAGAGTCAGACCTTGGTACTGTAAGAGAATGCAGGGGCAAGGGAAAATGCTGCTGGAGGACAGGTGAGAGGCAGATGGATGAGTTAATACCGAGTACCTGTAAGCAGAAGAAAGAAGGAAAGAGTGGGAAAGGCTGTGGGAAAAGCAGACAGACCGATGGTTTCTTCCTGGGGAAAGCTGCCGTGTTTGCTGCGTAAAGCCTGAAAATCGGGAAGGCGCTAGAAACGAGGCTTGGCAATTTCCTTAAAGCTGTAAACCATCTTCCCAGTTGCATTTTGAAGTCTCCTCCCCTGCTTGCTTCACCCTAGGCTGTGCTGTGGAGGGTCGGAAGCAGCGGCAATAGCCGAGCGCCAGCGCCGCCTTCCCCAACCACATCCGAGTGGATGCAGCAGCAGCTGATTAGGAAAGCGCTTACTCTTTGAAAAGGAACTTAGTCATAGGTCTCTGGAATTCACAGATGAGGAGGGAGCTGTGTAAAAACAGGGGTTAGTGTTTGCTTTTTGCCGTTTACTCCCTGGCTGTGTCACGCTCCGGGCCCCTGGGACATCCGGCACGGAGGAAGTGACTCGGTTGTTCTTGCAGGACAGTTTGACCTCCTCCATCGCTCTCTGACGCAGCCTGGAAAGTGGTTGAGGTTTCTGTGACTGCTCTTTTTCGTGGTTTCATTGAGAACCAGTTATTTTTGCTCAAGCAGGGTTTTGGTTTTGCCTGGAGTGATGCTCACCCCGGGATTGTAGGTGCCAAAGAAGCCCAAGCCATGCTCTGTCTGCCTTGAAGCGTCTCAGGTAATCACCTGAATTAAAAAAAATCCACGAGGAACCACAGTTGAAGCACTGAAAAGTTCAAATGCTGCTCTGGCAGCAGCTCCCTGCCTGCTTTTTGTGCTGCTTTTGTGCTGGGGAAATCCCATTGCTTCCAGCTCTTTGTCTCTGCCACAGTGTGAGATGTTAATGCTCTGCAGTCATGTTCCTTGAAGCTTAAATGTCTCAAGGTTTGGCTTGTTTTGAACTTCTCCCAGGCTGAAATTGTCTCATTTAGCTTTAACTTGCCCAAACCTTTGGCTGATTTGCAGTTTGATTCCTGATTGCTGCCCAAGATGAATGAGCTCTTGTGAAAGTCTGGGAGTTCTTGAGTATTCTTTTATACTCCTCATTTCTTCAGAATTCCCTAAAGCATGTCCAAGAAATTATATGAAAAATGCTCTACTTAGTATTTGTGTCACTCCCATTGTCCAGTGAAGGGGGGTAGGTAGTTCAGTGTTGAAAACACTGGAATAATCCTCTTGCTTGTCCTTTCCTGTTGCCTGTGCCCATACTGTCCTTGGAGGTTCGTGTCCATTCCTTTTCACTGTCTTGCTTTGCTCTACTGATCCAGATTTTTAAAAGGGTTGGATGGTCTCCTGACCCAAAATGATGAAGCCAACTCCCAGTGCAATCCTACCCGGAGCAGTTTAGGACTTCTTGAAACCCAGAACAGCTGCTTTTATGGCAGAGCATATCACTGATGTCTTCCCTGTAAGAACTGTTTTATCTTCTTTTTAAACAACCACAAAAATCCCTGACCTTTAGTCATGCACTTGGATTTCTAGGAATGCTGCCCGTAACCTGGGTCTAAAAGATCTCCAATAGTGATCTGCCTGGTGTTTCGTGGAAAAACAACCAATGGAAACTCTAAGGGAAGTTTGGTTTGGTTCTTTCTCCGTGCCCAGGCCTGGGATACTTGGCTCCTTGCAGGTTCCAGGGATTTTAGGAAGGATATCCCATGAAAAGCAGTTGGATGGTCAGGTTTGTAGCTGAGAAGGGACTCTTTGCTTTGGGACTTTTGGGTGTTGAGTCAGGCTGAGCTGGGCAGGATGGGGTGGGCTTTTGGTGAGGTTTTCCATGCTGAGGTTCACCGGCCTGAAGCAGAAAGGTGGGATTGGCCAGATTGGAGCCATTATTTCTGGAATTATGCTGCTTTGTGGCTCAGCTGACACTGCTGGTTAAAGGAGTATTAATAGTGTCAAGTGTCACTGCCCCCTTGGAACATGTGATTTAAGGCATAACTGAGGGGTGTTGTATGAGCCCGTGAAACAGCCTGTTTCACAGTCCCTGGAATACAGGAATGCTTTCTGATGGATTTTACAAAGCTCTTTTCTTCTTCCTGATTTATTACCTCAGAGGGGAGGAGAGAGAATATTCCCTATAGGGTGGACCAGCACTTTCTCCTGCTCTCAGTCATCCTGGGAATGCTGCGTTGCCTTGGCTTTCCCATATCCTGCAGGGCAGCATTTCTGGCTACAGGGTTCAATTCCTGGATATTCCATATCCAGGCAAAGCCAACTGTTTCCCGTGGCAGCGAGGGAACGCTGCTTACACTCCCACAGTTCCTTTCATCCCGTGATCCCAAGGCTGTTTGCTCTTTTCTGCTCCAAATCCTGGCCATAGTGAAGTTAATTGATTGATGCACCAGGACAGGATTCCCTCGCTGTGCTGCTCAGCAGTGCACATGGTTTCTCTCAGTTTATTTCCAGGCTGTTTAAATCCTGTAGGTCTGTGTCCATGCTCCTATATTTGCTCAGGAACAGAGGAAACAAACCATCCTATGGTTTCCTAGAGGAAACAAACCTTCCTATGTTGGACATAAGGAATGCTTTGTGCTTATGATACTTTTAAGCCAGCACTCCAAAGCCCCTGACAACACTCGTGGGTTTTTAGTGGTTGTAGCTTTGTCTAAAGGCAGGAGAGAACTGGAGGGGAAGGCTTAGATCTGGCTGGTGCTCTAATCCATGTTTTCTGCTGTCAGACAGGGAACTGTGTTTCCTCATCCCTAAAACCAAGAGCAGCTGGGAGCCATTTCACTGCAACTGAAGTGGAAGCCGAGTAGTGGAAGAGCAAACCTGTTGCACTTGCCTCATAGCCCTGTCTCTCTCTCTCTGTTAGTATCTTGTTAGAAATCTTTAATGTAACATTTATCAATATTATGAAATAATATAACGTTTAAAGTCTTCTTGGTGAAGTTGGTTTAAGGGGCTGTCGAGATGGACTGTTTAAAGTTGTTTTTCCCTTTTTTTACCCCTGTCCATGGGGTATAAGGTCCCTTCCAACCCAAGCTGTTCTAGGATTTAAGGAGTGGGGTTGGGATTGGGCCAGACAGAGTGCAGGCCACATGCAATGAGGAGGTTTTGCAGCTCTCACAGGTATGGCTTTGAGCAGGGCGAGTTTATTCCACACCCTGTTCTTGTGAATGTTCCCAAACTGCTTTTTGCCCACTTGGTGTGGTTAAAGCTTCGTGGCCCCTCCCCTCCAGGTTACCTTGGCTGGGTGATTTCAGCTCCCAGGGGAGATTTAGATTAGATATCCGGAAGAAATTCCTCCCTGTGAAGGGGGGGTGAGGCCCTGGAATGGATTTTCCAGAGAAGCTGTGGCTGCCCCATCCCTGGAAGTGTCCAAGGCCAGGTTGGATGGGACTTGGAACAACCTGGGCTAGTGGAAGGTGTCCCTGCCCACGACAGGGGGTGGAATGAGATGAGCTCTAAGGTCCCTTCCATCCCCAAACATTCTGTGATTCTGTGATAAATTGCACATGTGTGGCTGGCAAATTCCCTAGAAATACCATGGAGGGCTTGGAATGCAGAAGGGAGTGTGTGAGGTGTCAGTAGCTCTGGCTGCTTTTTTTTTTTTTTTCCCCCCCCCCCCCAATTTCTGGGTAACTCGCTGACATTGAAGTTAAGAGCTACTGACACAGGTATTGTGTTTCAGGTTATTTTATTAACAGCTCCTCGTCCAGACAAAGTACTTATCTTCCAAGGAAACCTCTTAGGCAGCTGTTGTGTTCAGTGAAAGCCCCAGGGCACGGCCTGGTTCAGTTCCCTGGATTTTCTCCCTGGTGCAGGAGTGCAGTGGGTCACAAGATGTGGCTGAAAGCCGATTAGGATCCCAAGGTGGGCAGTCCATCAAGAGCAGCTCCATGCACAATATTCCTCCCTTGTTCTTACTGGAAATGTAGTTCTGCAGCAGCTTTTTTTGCCTGAAAGAAGCTGCTTTTTTTTTTCTTTCCTGTCTCAAGTTCACGAAGCTTTTTGTGCTGTGCTGTGTGAGCACTCTCACCACGATTAGTCCTCTCATTTTCCTGCTTGCTCTTGTTTGTACCTGGTAGTAATTGTCCTATTTTATGGCTTTGTTGAGTTAATAACTAATTCCTCGGTGGTGCAAACCGCTGGAGGTTTGGCAGCAGGAGCAGTGCCACCCTTATTTACCACAGCAGTTACCCGGGGAAGTCCCTGTTAACAAGGGCTGTCATTATCCACACTCATGGCTGGGATAGAGACTTGTTTGTAGCTCCTGCCAGTGACTGGTGCCCAGTGTGAGGCTTTTTAATTGACATATAAGTCATGTAACAGTGCATTTGAACAGTTAATAATGAACCATTTGGGTTTTGTGAGCCTCCTTCAGCGAGGACTTGGAAATTTCTGGTTCTGTGTCATTAGAACTCTTGTTTCCTTAAAAGCACAATGCTTGAGCTGCTCTTGTGTGTGGTTAACTGCAGAGCTATTGTAATGTAATCCCAGTTTAGAAGACTTAGATAAAATCTACCTAAAACTGATGTCTTTTGTTTCTAATCTTTGGGGGGGAAGGGAAAACCCAGCTCTCAGAGTTTCCTTCCCCG